ATTAAATAATTAATTAAATGTGTCAATAGTTAATTAAATGTGTCAATAATTAATTAAAATGTGAAATACATAAATAATTAATTAAATGTGTCAATAATTAATTAATTACATGTGTCATAACTATTTATTTATTTAATTAATTCCAATTTTAATTAATTATGTAATGGTGTATTTAATTCATTATGGCAGTCCTGGCGTTCCATATGTGAATGGGTGGATGACTGGTTGTGTAAAGTGCTTTGGGGTCCTTAGGGACTAGTAAAGCACTATATAAACACAGGCCATTTACCATATTCACAAGTCCTTCTCATTATTCTCATAAATAAGGTGAATATTGGATTAAATTAAAACGAATTATTAATTATTGATCATGTTAGTTGTTGGAGTGATATTTTTATGATTGTCATTTGTACTTAGAAACATAGCATCAATAATGTTTAGAGGTATATAATCGATTGCATTTTGAGATATATATTTCTGAAAATAAATACTTGATTTTCTTTCTATCATAGTTTAGACTAAGCAAATGCACCTTGTTTCCTTAGCAGAGCTGTTGGAGCTTCTATTTACCCTCAGAGTGATCAGATTTAAAAATTGTAAAACAGGATCTAAAGGAGGGAGGAAGGATTCATCCAAAGGAGGGCTGCTACGTCACAAACTATTTCAGCGAGTAAACCTGTGAAATCTGTGCACAAAAGCTCACCTGTTCTGTGTCAAGACGACCACTAAACAAGACTTTACCATTAGATTCTGGCCACAGGTTTCAGGGCCAGTACTAAAAGTACACTGGTTTATTGGAAGCCCCCATGGCTGGGTTATGAACTAGCAAAAATAATAGCGTATAGTAAAAGAATAAATAGTGGTACGTAGCGTCATTACACCTTTTGATTATCACCATGGACTGCAATCAGAATACCTGGTGGTATTTTCATCCTTCTCTCAGGAAATGGCATTAACTAAGTTTGTGATATAAACTAAACCCAGATTTATCTTTCCTAAAGTAACATAAAGACAAGTAATGTCAGAAATCACAGAATAAAAGGGCTGACTGGACCGGTTACATATAACAAGCACAGTCATTTGTGGAACTGGACATTCACAACTGTTAACATTGGGAAAGCTTCTACATATATCGACACATTCAAATTGACTGATTGTACTTTTTTTAATGCTGTGATGTGGAAAACACTAATACAATAACAGTATTTGGTCATGCTGCTGTCACTGATGCCTCAAACACATTTGACCGCTTCTAAATTAAGCTTACCAACATTATTTTCTTTTTTTATTAGTCCTTTATTTATCCAGGTAAAAATCTTATTGAGATTAAAAATCTCATTTCCAAGAGAGACCTGGCAGTATTATTGTGAGTTATGACCCACATGCTAAGCGGTGCACTACATCAAAAGTAAATCCTGTTACATCATGAAAAGAACAAAAACAAAAGAGGACAATTCAAACAAAGTACGAAAAACACTTTTATTATCAGCAGGGTGTATAAAACCGTTCATTGTGAAAGGTAATTACAGTTTAGGTTAAGTTTATGTACTGAAATGGAGGATGAGCATATATTACACCTGTCATTATGAGACACCATCAAATCACTCCAGCAGAGAGACCTCATGGAAGTATGCTCCCAGCAGCTTGACTCCCTGAATGTAGTTTGATCTGAAAATGGAGAAATGAAGCGATGACAACGGTTTATAATTAAAAAAAAA